GATGTTTTGTGGTCAATTGTGAAAGAAAGAAAGAAAAAGAAGAAACAGCGACCTCTCAATTTATAGGTTGATTGATTGGAATTGGTGCATATAATGATGCCATGCGGTTAAGAAGAAAACATCCAACAGGATGTTGGGGTGAGGTGCACCTTCCTTCTCTCCCTTCTTCTTATTTATACAGCATACTCGTTATAATGTATATACAGTACGTGTGCTGTATATACGGTATACTGCTTTCCTCTTTCACGAACCGGTTTCCTTTCGCCCGTAACAGATGACGGTTACAAGTTCACTCACACCTCTCGGCATTGGTGCCCATAATCAGATGTCGTCCATGCGTCAAGAGATATCATTATTGAGCGAACGACGATATGAGATGCATGACGGCACGTAGTGACCATTTCCCGTATACCATACAACTCCATACTTGTGGTTCAATTGCTGGTATGAGGTAAGGTGGCCCGGTGATGTGCTCTCCAATTTGTTGGCCTTTTTTAGAGTTCACCATTATTATTACATTGTCACAATCAGATTTACCATTCATATCAACATTTTTGGTCCTTCAATGAAAGCTCTGCTCATGCTTCCGATATGACATTTAAGTGCCATCCGATTGCCACATGTGGTAATGTATTATTTCTTTATTATTTATCTATCTTTGCGCAATAACAATATTATTGTGATATCTTACATAAACACTGATGAATAAATTGAATCTGGAATATCATAATAGCACATTATGAATAAACAAAAGGTGATTCATTCAGCTTCCACAAAATGATTCTATTTATACTCCCATAGTGGTATAGCATAGCCTCATGATTATTGGAATGTTATATTTGGTTCATTGTACTATGATCTATGTAAGTGCCAAGAATTTCTTTCAGAAAAAAAAAAGAAAAAAATTTTTGGTTGGGTTGCACCAGTTGTTGCATCAGCCAATTGTCACAGGATGGTAGAACTCTGAAATCCATTCATGATGACATGGGGCACACCATGGTCTTTGAATACCAAGAGTCATACACCAAGAGTCATCATGGGTTGTGTGCACAATCAACAATGCTGTATGAATCTTGCTGTGCCATCGAGATCACCCCCCCGGTCACCCTCATGCCACCTTTTTGACAACTCGCTCACCAACCAATCCATATCAGCGACTCATTATTTTCCAAATAAAGATCACAGTTCGACCAGACCAATATTTAAAAGGAATGATTGAAAAAAAAAAGGGATAAACGGTGGACAAAGAATTTCTCTGAAAGAAAGAAAGCGTGCGGAAGGTCCGCATGACAGTGTGTGTTTTCCTCTTGTCTCACGTAGCTTATATATTCAACCATCTCCGGGTTGACGTTGATCCTTCATGTGCATCGGCCTCAGTAATGCCCAACCCAATAATCATAATGATGATGAGATGATGTAATAAATAATGCAAAACGTTTCAAATTGAGCTTAACAACAAATTTAGCGCCCTTCGGAGTGTTTTCCTAAGGAAGCGACAAACAAGTTAATTTACAACGAACAATGTATGCCGGTTACTAATTAAAATCCATTTTGCGCAATGTTTTAAATTTAGGTTTTTACGCACCGCATACCTACGAATTCGGGGCCTAAATGGATAATAACATGGTTAGTTTCTTGTTTCCTTTCTCGGGATTATAGTATTACCCTTTTATCATCTGCGCAAGCGTGTGTACGTATGGTGCGCACTTATATAATTAAAAAAGGAACACTTTGCTTCCTAGTGTGCCGATACCGCACCATTATATCAATAATACTTATATCATCTTGCATCTACATGCACCGAAAAAAAATGTACCGTTAGAGGTCACTCGCCCTCCCCCCCAAAAAGTTATGGTCCCCATTTTTTTTTTTTTTTTCCTTCTTTTCTTTTTGTAAAGTTATCGTACGCATTTTATATTATCCGATTTCATAGACGACACAGTAAACAACCTTTATCTATATAGTATCATTCACTTTATGTATTCATGTGTACATGTCATGTACCCTCACTTATGTATATATAGAAGCATTCGACATGTCGGTGAACGGCGCAGATGATAATCATTCTATCCAAATCTGGACAGAAAAATAGATACGTCCGGATTATTGTAAATAAAAGGTTTTCTTTTTTTTTTTTTTTTCAAAGTACCGAGTGCACATTTGAAAACAATAAATGATAAACCTCGAACAAAAGAGAAAGATGAACCCTATTCGTCAATATAATATTAATTTTATTATTTATTTGTCTCATTGTCTATTTATAATAAATAATAAATTAACTTGACAAAAAAAAAAATATTTAAGAGTGCCCTCACCCAACCTCCAACCTCTTCGATTCCAGGAATTCAGAACTACGAAAAGGCGTCACCGTGATTTTTTTTTTTCTTCATTTAAAAAAAAAAAAAAAAAAAAAAAAAGAAAAGAAACGAGTTCCTTCCTCTTCTTCGTCTTGTTTCGCAAAGAAAAGTAACATGAGCATGTTCAAGATGTCCTACTATTGTTTCGAGACCACCAAAAACCAACGACTTGCGAACCCCTACTCCCAATACAGCCAACCACCATATCCAACCTCGAGATCTGAAATTGTTGCACAAATTATCGCCGAGACGATTGATGAGGCCACGCAGATAAAGATAATGAAGCACACGACGCTTCCGCTGCCGGAGCTCATCACACCAAGCGTCAACGTCAGAACTGTCAAGAATCCGAGGCCGCAGAATAGCTTTGTAATTTACCGTCGGAACGTTCAAGCCGAGATAGCGAAAGACAAAGGAACGAATGCCGCCGGGAGATTAGACTTTGTCTCAAAGCATGCTGCGAAGAAGTGGAAGCAGGAGAGTTCGGAGGTCAAGGAACTTTACGGTTTTCTCGCCACATGCGCAAAAAAAGTTCATGATTATATGTATCCTGGATATGTGTATCAGCCGAAAAGGCAAGCAACAACCAACGAACCGATGATCATGGTGCACGAACCCGGTGTGGGAGGTTACAAGTTGAAACAGGCGATGCCATCTCCTCCGCAAACCCCACTGCCATCACCTCCACAGATGAGAGCACTAAGATTCCCTCAGGCTCCCCCGCAGACCCAACTACCCCCTCTGTTTAAACCTCAGCCGATGACAACGGCAGGTCAGTCGTTCGATCAAAACATGCCATTCGTGCCATTACTACCACCACCATCTTCATCGCATCCCCCACCATCAACACTGGATATTAGCGACGGTGCGATATCGTCGAATTTCATGACAACGTATGATCGAAGCGTGTGTAAAGGGTTTGATGCCTACGGAAAGTTGTTGTAAATATTATGCAAAACACTGTGTAAATTTGTTTTTATTTTTATTTCACTTTATTCATCTCTTGTTTTTTTATTTTTGGGGGAAAACAAATCCTTTTTTTTTTTTCTTTTTTTTTTTTTTTTTTCTATGGCCGCACGCAAAATATTTGCGAGAAAACGGTTTCCCTTTTTTTATTATTCTACCTCCATGTGAGAGTCATGGATGTGTGTGTATGTGCGTGGGTGGGTAGCAACTATCGGAAAAAAATCAAGAAAAAAAAAATCCCCCAAAAGAATCGATATCGTTGTAGCATAACCTATGTCGTCTCACGAATTAGCTAGTAAAAATAGCAAAGCGATCCAAAATTCCCACCATACCTTCCCATTTTACGGCTTACAGGAGAAAAAAAGAATGAAGGCTCGACTTTGTTCTTTTTTTTCTCTTCTCTCTTTCACATACGCATACAATAAGATTTTACGAAAACATAAGTGGCAAATCGAAATGAGGAAAAAAGCCACGCGAATTCTTCGTTTTTCTCTTTTCTTTTTCTACATATATAATGATAAATTTTAAAAAGATAATAAGAGTCTACACTCACGCACGCACGCACGCACACGTATATACATACATTATACAGTATATATATATATATATATATTCTTTTTTTTTTTTTTTTATCAGTATACAACTCATTTTATTATTATCCCTATATTACAGTATATATTACCACCACCACCACCCATAGCATATACGCATTCATTTTTTTCTTTTGGTACCCGCATCGCAATAATGATTTGTTTCTTTTCTTTGTTTCCTTTTTTCTCCTCTACACTAATCTCAACCTTCTTATCACGTATGCACAAATTTTGGTTAGTTTTTTTTTTTTTTTTTTTTTTTTTTTTTTTTTTACACTTGGAAAAAGAAATTAAGCAAAGTCCAAAAGTCTAAAAGTAAATAAATATACGTCTATCCTTTCAATAAAGAAATGAAATTTAAAGTTAATTTTGTCTATTATTATCATTATCATCTATTTCTCGTGTATCTTGGCGATGCCGCGATGGTGGTGACGTAACGCGTACCGAGTGACGACTTTATGCGACACGTCAACCTCTGTCGACCTCGAGCGTCACTGACTGAAAAACCATCCATCGTGAAGGTGTCATCCCGGGCGACGTAGAAATCGTATGATTTTTTTTTTTTTTTTTCGGGTGTAACGTCAACACCCTCCATTTCCTGCATCGATTACAATTATGACAATTTCCAAAGAAGCGCAGGTCATTGTGATGTCCAGGTATCATGTATGGTTCGCGCGTCATCATGCGACCATTGATACGCCCACGCATGCTAATTTGGTACAAGATGCATCTCCCCGGTCTCCTCCCCATTCGCGATAACAACAGGTTTCTCGATAAACAGTAGTGTAAACAACTTACTTATCATCGTCACATTGTATGTCGCATCATCGATCTTTCATGTGAAGCATGGCACGTAAAACCTAATTATAAATTTACTTGGTGTCCGGGTGCACGAGCGAACGAGGATTTAAAATAAATTTGGTCGATTCTCGTTTGCACATGGTCTCACGAACTATTTATCGAACTTCGCTGCCCCGTGCGCATTCGTGATTCCACGGCAACATGAGAAAAACACGCGCACCCCGCTCGACAATCGCGAACGGCAGCTGAAATCCGATTGGACATCTCGCCGAGGTCGATGCAGTGGAAAGAGGTCCGAAAAAAAAAAAAAAAAAAAATTAACGATCCTCCAATTCCCCAAAAAACGACAACAAATAAATACGGACAATAATTTAAATGCAGTGATGGTACACAAGTTCATACAACAATTCTCACCATGCACAAATAGGAAAATTTTTTTCTTTTTGTTGTACGCATTTGTTTATTTTAGTTATTCCGCGCGCAAATTTTTTGATACACGCTCTTTTTTGGTGATTTGCACAGGAAAACCATTTAATGCATAACTGATATATTTGTGTAATTGAGGACGACTTCGTAACAGGCAACACTTCTCGGATTACAATATAAATGTTCACACAGAGGACAGGTTTCTCGGTTCGGTGATCTAAAACGAATTCTCCGAATGCGTCCCGAGTATCGTCTTCGGGTGAATCTTGACAGCTGCTCGCATCCAACGAGGGAACTATTTTCCGAAATTTGATCACGACGTGTCACGCAGATGCAATTAAATTTGGCTGGTAAAGGTCGATTGGTAAACCTATTTGTTTGTTTCAGTCATGCCAAGCCAACGTCCGTGTCGAAATTTGCGACCATTTAACACATTGTTACGGCAAGAATACCCGGATTCTCGTAATGAAAATTCTTATTCCGGAAAAGGATGACGATTAGTTAACTCGCTCGGTCATACGAGTATTTCTGACAAAGAAGCATAAGGGTAGATGGATAAAGTAATCATCATGATAAATACACGACGTGCACACATGAAACCACCGATACAACAAAGAATCAGGTTATCTCTTGTGTACTGTAAGTGGGTATATAATAATATTATTATTGCTATGCTGTATACAGTGTACACATTGTAGCTGAATAATATATGTTTCAGATAATCATTATAACTTTAAAAAAATCCATGTAATCAATATACTCGATGCATTCCTTAAAATTTTATTAATAGAATTAATTATTTTAGTACGTGATAATGATAATAAAAAAAAAAAAAAAGAGGGTACGAATGGATTAACCGTGTCGAATGGGTGCATAGGTGCTGCACCTGTACTTATTAAAAAATTTTCCAATTTTGCGAATAGGCTGTATCAGGAAAAAAAAATTCTTAACACCCTTTTTTTTTTCCTCAAGCTACTGTATATCCTATAAAAAAAAAAAAATTTTTTTTTTTTTTTTTTTCATTACAATTTTATATTATACTGCAATTGTATTGCTTGACACAATCGAAGCTAAATATATAAGTTATACGTAATGTATGACCTTTTTTTTTTTTGTTAGATTTAAATAAATCCAATTAATTACATTGTTACAATTGAAATGTGAGCAAACTATATACAGCATAACTACAGTACATGCGTACAATATATTTCTATAAATCTTAAATCTTTGTAACAAATCAATTTTGCAAAAGCCCAAAGATATTGAAGATCAAATGTTTTTTGAAATGTTTTGACAAGACATCATTCAAATTTAGCTTGAAAGGAATTTTCACAAAGAATCTATTGAAACTGATTATAAAATAGATTTGCCTAAGCAAATATGAAATAGGTGTTTTTTTTTTATGAAAAAAAAAAAAAATAAGTAAATAAAACTTGCAATCTAATCAAAAGAATAAATTTGAAAAAATAGGATCTTTGCCTTTTAAAAAATTGTTTTCTACTTTTAGATTTATAATAGCAAATAAAAATGTTTGATCAATTAAAAATTTTTATATAATAATAAAAATTTTATTAAATCTTATAAAATTTTTTTAATATATTAAAATAAAAAATATTATTATTTTTTTTTAAATACATTGTCAGATTAACAATTTGTAAACTATATATATAGTTGCTTTTAAAAGTTTGAGTCTACTTACAATGTTTTTATTATAAATTTCAACTTTGACAATTTTTAAATCATTGATTATACAATCAAAAATTATAAATTTATATACAGTATATTATATCTTAATACTTATTTTATTTCTTATATTTTTAAAAAAATTTTTTTATTAATATGTTCTAAAATTTTATTATCGTTAAATATTTTTAATTTTTTATTAATTATTATATGATTTATGATAACAATTAATCAAAATTTTCCAAAAGTAAAAATTTAATAAAGAAAAAAAATTTTTAACAATAATAAAAACTTTAAAAATTACATATAAAAAAAAATTTTTTTATCACAACTGATATTAAATATGAACTCTTTATTATTAGGTAAACTTAATATTTGAAGAAAATGAATCCTCTTAATATAATATTAATAATTTCATATAAACTATATATTTTTATATATATATAAATTAATAATAATCTATCGCAGTTTGCTCTAGTTAGATCTACTATTACTCTATAAATGGGCATACCTAATTAGGAACCAAATAATTAATATATAGTCATCAATAGTGATGCTAGGCTAGTTAGTAATATGCTACAATTTAATTATAAACATCAAACTAGTCCTTTTTTTATATATACCCAGTAGGATTGTATATCTTTCAATACTTCTAGATATTATTTGCTTAAACCTTAGAAAAAAATATATTATCTTATTTATTACCATATGTGGTATTGGATTAGTTCCTATTAACTGATTTTCAATTAAGCAAAACATTAGATTGAAATATCCTGAGCTAGGAAAATAGTATTCTAGAGATTGCCAGAACAGTAGAGATTATATAATATTCAGATGATTATCACAGTCCTAAAAGTGAGATCTTGGGATTTATTTTCTTATCCAATTCAGGAAGGATAATTGGACATAAATCATGTTTTTTTTTTTTTAACCCGCAGTCAGGTCAGCATAACATATCTTTATTGTATATATGCTAAGTATTTACAAATTATTGTGACTTTCATATACTGACTCACTTATCGTCAAAAAACTATTTCTCTAAATACAACCTAGGGAATGATATTTCGCTCCTTTATTAATTTGGATAAATCCTCTAATTAATAAAATCATTGCCTACAGGTCATTACTGTAGATCATTCTAAGTTCTGTCTGC